TCACTGTGAGGACTCTACAACGTCCTATACTGTGATATTCATATATCGCTATGAACACTGTACAACTGGAAGTCACATATCACTCTGAACACTGTACAGTGGGAACATTCATAGACTATAAACACTGTACAAACGTGAACATTCATATATATTCTTCTGAGTACTTTATAATATGTTCATATATTCTTGTAAACACTGTACAATGTGGATATTTACATTTCCTTGTGACCAATATAGAAAATAAACACGTTCACATTTTCAAAACAATTAAATATAAGGCAATGTTCACTTTTAAACTAGTAATATACTGTAGTTAACTAATCATATCGTTACTTTCATTGGCTTTAATATCTTCGAGATTCGTCGTGAGATTCGAGTCCTGCGATGTTTTACGCACCAGAGTTACGGAAAGGCGTAAATTTATTTGATCTGGAACATTTTCAAATGATTCACCTGTTCTGACCTACTCGTAGCGAACTGTTGTTGTTGTTATTATTATTATTATTATTATTATTATTATTATTATTATTATTATTATTATTATTATTATTATTATTATTATAGCTAACACCTATCAATACACACTTACGCCGCAAATTATCGTTGCCACTTTACAGTGGAAAAATATGTTGTGCCTTCCACATCTAATTGTACTCACCTAATTGTGCTTGCGGGGATTGAGCTTCGGCTCTTTAGTCCTGCTTCTCAACTGTCAGTCAACTGGTGTACAAGTTCCTGAGCCTATTGAGCTTTATCATATCTGCATATGAAACTCTGTATGTAATCCTGGCTTCACACGGAATCCTAGTGCATTCCGTTTGTTAACTACTCTTACATCGAAATTTAGTTTTATTGTGTCTGAAGCTCATTTAAGTCCTCGGTCTTCAGCTGTGCCCCTCCTTTGTGTGTGCCACCCGTGCTAAATACTGATATTTACACGGAAAATATTAAAGGGACTGGTTATGAATCTTCACACGGAAATAAATTACGTGAAACCAGGAGGCATGGCAGGATGTGCAAAATGGTTCCACTGAAAAGCAGAGGTTCAATAGGTACGCTGAGAAAGAACCTTATCAACATCAAAGGCTCAAGACTTTTCAACACTCTTACTTTACACATAAGGGGCATAACTGGTCGAATTCTCAAGGTGCTCATGAGAGAACTTGACAAACGCTTCCAATAGATACTTGATGAACCAGTCTTGATTCATACATCAAACTGCAAGCAGCTCCGTCCAACAGCCTGATTGACCAGACCACCAACTAGGAGGCCTGGTCAGACCTTCAGAGACTGGGGGCCGGGGACGGTTATCCTCGGAACCAACAACAGGTAGGAACGGCTAGCTAAGACTCCTTTTTGTTATGGCTTAGGTAACCTACTCAGAACATTTGAGTTCCGACTTTGTTAAGTTGAATTGAATCCCACCTTTAAAAAGCTGCAAGGGGTATACATTTTTCAATTCGATTGGTTAGTGATGTATTAAAACTGAAGGTAGGGCTAAATGTAAAAACACAACACAGAACCACTATCACTGCTCAATACACACAAACTACACCGGCAAGGCAGATGAACAAATAAATCGCGAACATTCGCCACTAACGTTGTGCCGGAGTGTCGAGGGTGTGCAAACCTGCAGGTTGCGAGAGGTGTGAGAAGAGGTACCCTGTACCCCACGTGACAGCCTCTCTTCCAAAACCAGTCACAACATTATTATACTCGTCTCTCCACACCGCAAAAACAACATTCATGACAAAACCCAAATCCCTTACACGATCAAATCCCAAGGTGTTTGTACAAAGAGACCAGGGTTACATTTTTCATGCTATGAAACCTATGCTTAATGTCGGCATGTTTAAAGTAAAATATGGCTGTAGTGTAATGTGTGTGCTAAGTGATACATGTTCCTGTGTTCTCACTGTTACTGCCTTACGGCATGCCTTAGTGTTCCGGCCTTGTTTTGTGCTTCCCCACTGTGTTGTTTCGCAGTACATGAGGTTAATTTTCTCAATTGTGATATGGTTGTGTTGTTATTTGTTATTGTTCAAGCCTGTTATTGTTGTGACGCCGCACAGTTTGTAATTCATAAATACTCTATCATTGTGACCGGGAACTAATGTATGTGGAATTGTTGTCACAACGTGTTACTTTGTTGTGACGTGGAACTTTCAAATTACGGCGTGTTGCTTGTGTTGTAGAACTGATGCTGCTTTGTGAAAGGCTGGTGGATTTTATGTGTTTTTGTATTGTGACTTACTCATGTTTTAGCTTTACTGTTTCGTGGTGTGTTGCTTTGTTATTTTACCTTTTTTTGAAGTGCAGCTAACTATGTTGGTTTACGTGGATGTATTATTAAACAATAACGTGCGTATGTATTATGTTTGTATAATGTGATCTTGATTACGTGTGACTGTTCTGATAATTTGTTATTGTGAAACAATGTTGTGTTGTGACTAGTTTCTCAACTCTGGCGTCACAGCAACGAGTGTCTTGCAACATGTTTGTGCATATATTATATGTTTATTTGTAATTTTGTCTATTTAATTTTCTTGCTGTTATGATTTGATAACAGAGTAACTTGGTATTGTACTGCGAAGTTTTGTTTTGTTACTTGTCAGCTGTAAAGCATAGCACATGTGTTGTGGAGTTTTGGGCTTACTGTTTAGATGGAATGCTGTGAGGTGACATTGTCCAATGTGTTAGCAAAATGTATTGTAATGTTACATAAGTACGATAATGGTGTCCATGTAATTCATAGGCTATACAAATTACTTTAAAACTAAATGTGTTATATTTAGTCCATGTATCCTCAATATATTTGTAATGCCAATGTATCGATATTATAATTGTCAGTTATAAGTTTTTGTGATTCTACACGTGGTCAGTTCAACCACAACTCTAATTTGTGTAATAAATCACGTTCGAATACAAATCAATCAATCCACTGGTATGTCCTACTGTTTAAAGTCATCGTGTTATATTGTGGATTTTTACTATATGCTGTTAGGCCTAGGCTAGCCTATGTCATGCTGTGATGCAATGCAGCATACTGTGTCGCATTGCTGTGCTGTATTTGTATGAAGCAAAGTGCGTGTTGCTGTATTTGTATGATGCAAAGTGCGTGTTGCTGTATTTGTATGAAGCAAAGTGCGTGTTGCGATATTTGTATGATGCAAAGTGCGTGTGTGTTGTGAGGTGTTGCTGTTTATAAAAACTGCTCCTCCGATCTTACTATCAAGCCTAGTAACCTGTTGTTGTTTACCTATTGACAGGCGAGTGTTGCCACCACTACGGTAAGGTTTGACAACACAACCTGGCCTCCTTGTTGACAACATTATTAGTCAGGCCGTCGCTGTTTCTAGCTTGCACTCCAGTGTAGGTACTGCAGCTTCGTTGCTTAGGAATGGGTTGTAGGAACTAATAAACTTGCAAAATGAACACTGCTGGGGTCTGGTGGTAATTTCCCACACAATTGAAGGTAGGATAGGCTATTAAAAACCAGTTATATAAATAAATAAATATAAATAAATATAAATAAATAAATAAGTTGCTATGTTTATGCTGTTGTTTTGCAAGATGGTGATGTTGTGTGTAGTTATATCAGGTGCTTTTGTGTTGGCATGCACTGTTGTGTTGCCAGATACTGTTGAGTTGTCAGGTGTTGCCAGATGCTAGTGTGTTGTCAGGCGATGTTGTGTTGCCATGTGTTATCGTATTTCCACATGATTTTGGCAGGTAGTATTGTGTTTTTGGTGTCTTTGTGTTGTTTTATTGCTATATTGTGGCTTTTGTGTTGCCAGAAGCTGTTGTCAGGTGCTTTTGAGTTGCCAAATGATGTTGCCAGATGCTGTTGTGTTGCCGATGTCTTGGCAGGTGCTCTTGTCAGGTGGTTCTGTTTTATGTGATGCTGTGATCTGACGTGCTGTCACATGCTGATGTCATGAAGTATTGCAATGCTGTCATAGTGCAGTGGTATGGTATGTTGCTGTGTTGAAACATGCTACTGTGTTGACATGTTACAAATGTTCACTTGTTACTAAGTTGTGATGATTGTTATGTTGTGGCATTTTGCTGCCATGAAGTGTACTCACCTAGTTGTGGTTGTGGGGATGATTGAGCTTTGGCTCTTTGGGGCCACCTCTCAACCGTCAATCAACTGGTGTACAGATTCTTGAACCTACTGGGCTCTATCACATCTACATTTGAAACTGTGTATGGAGTCAGCCTCCACCACATCACTGCTTAATGCATTCCATTTATTAACTACTCTGACACTGAAAAAATTATTTCTAATGTCTCTGTGGCTCATTTGGGTACTAAGTTTCCACCTATATCCCTTGTTCGTGTTCCACCCGTGCTAAAGAGTTTGTCTTTGTCCACCTTGTCAATTCCCCTGAGAATTTTGTAGGTGGTTATCATGTTTCCAACCTGACCTAATATATATTGTTGTGACAAGTCGCAGTTGTGATACGTGTATAACACTCGTAATGTCTTCCTGTGTTGCAACATGTGCCTGGTACTGCACTGCATTGACATATTCTTATATATAATGCATAATGTTGTAATTAGCAGATCAATTTCTGTAGTGTCCCGAGTCTCCTCTATTCTCGTGACATTTGATTTCTTTTGCATTATTTAATGATGATAGAGCATGCAGCTATGGGACAGCCCCGCTCCTGTGCCAGGTAAGTCCACTACGGGCTCACCATAGCCCGTGCTACTTGGAACTTTTTGTTCCCAGTAGCTGAATGTTAAACAACAACAACAACATGCAGCTATGTTGTTGTGCAGACCCGCGATGTCAGTAGCCTGTGGTATGTTGTGTTATGACTGGCCCTCTTTGTGGCACTTCCTTGTGTTGTAAGCTGGTACTGACGAGTGGCATAGCCGTGTTGAGCTAGAGGCGTAGGATACGCGTGAGGTTGGAAGTGTGTAGTGTAGGTTGGTGAGGTTAGAGGAGTGTGGTGGAGAATAGTGGGGTTGTCACCTGTGGGAGGACATACCTGTGGCTCACATGGGGGTGGTGTTGGTCTCCCTGCACACCGCCGGACATAAAAGGCTTGAGGTGATGCTAGGGGTGGTGGCTTGGGTCGTAGAGTAGCACAGAGGGGCAGGGAGGAGTCTGTGGCGGTTGTGGTGATGCCTCAATAGAGTTCGCCTAGTGCCTAGGGCCATGGCGAGAGTAAGTGGTGCCTGGAGGAGAGGCGATGAGCTAGAGTGAGGGCGGTGAGGAGTGGCTAGCGAGGGGAGGTTGGCCCCTGCTACCTCCGCCATCACAACAACACGGTAGCTGGCTCTCCCCTCACTGATCCTGGTTCACCACGGGCGCCGCGGGGGCCCAAGACCTCACTTGCCCGCTGCTAATCACTGACATGAGTTCCAAACTCACAGTAAAGCAGAAAGGCACATCCAAGCGTCGCAACAGTGGGGTAAATTGAACACTGCCCCATCAGCATTGACGCTTACACGAGAGACGTCATCGTACTGAGGCAGCCTCATTACAGCTGCGACGCTGCCATCGCTCCGCAAGATGCCATTTTACGGCATTTTCATGTATATATTACTACCATGATTTGTCTGGATGAAATACAACAATGTTTTCAAATAATACTTGCAAGGGAGAATTTTCACTAAACTCAAGAGTCTCTAAGTAACACTTAATGCGTGAATAAATACGGGTTTGATTCCCTAGAGAAGCAGTGGCATTTCAGGCTTGGTGTACACGCAGCCTTGGCTTGGCTGCGCGGCTCACTAGGCCCCGCGCTCGCTCAAACTCCACTACACCCCTGTACTCACAATCACAACTCACTCTCTTGTAGGACATGAAACAGTAGAGTGCGTGGGAAAGAGAGCAGTATCATACACAAAGCACTTGAGTGCGTTGGGAGAGTAATGTCGCACGAAGAAGCACCTGAGTGCGTTGGGAGAGTAATGTCATATGAAGAAGCACTTGAGTGCGTTGAGAGGGTAATGTCGTACGAAGAAGCACTTGAGTGCGTTGGGAGGGTAATGCCATACGAAGAAGCACTAGAGTGCGTTGGGAGGGTAATGTCATATAGGAAGCACTGAGTGCGTGAGAAGAAAGCAATATTATTCATGAATATAAAGGATTCGAGGAGAACGCAATATCATGAAGCACTCGTGCGTGTGGAGGAAGCAATATCATACATGAAGCACTCGTGCGTGCTGAGGAAGCAATATCATACATGAAGCAGTGGCGTACATGAGGAGGAAGCAATATCATACATGAAGCACTGGCGTACATGAGGAAGCAAAATCATACATGATGCACTAGAGTATGATAGGTAAGCAGCCTTTAGAGTGGTTAGGAAGAAAGTAATATCCTATACAAGGCACTATAGCGTGCATGGGAATGCATCTACAGAATGCGCGTGTCAGGGGAATAATTAGTTAATAAGGCTAGTGTGAGTACTATGTAATTTAGAGATTGGTCATGCATGACAGGGAAGGCAGGGACGTGACACACCAACATGCACGCTCACCAGGCTACACTGTAGCAACAGGGAAGAACATCCCATGAACAACTAGTCTTATGAACAAGCAGTGAAACACTGATAGCGAAGAGGTTACCAAAGCTATTAAAAACGTTTATAGAGTATGAGATATAAAATTTACAAGTTAGCACCTACGTCAGTCGAAGAAGGCGCTCTCGTTTTCCAGAAGAGGCCTGGAATCCCTAGCAACTATCTCAATGCCTCTCGAGTCCTGGTTTCATTGGCTTTAAACCGAATGAAACCAGGACTTGGGAATGGAATGGAATTACCAGGGGAAAGCGCCAAGCCATTACGACTATATAGCACTTTCAAGGATAAGATCAGGATAAGAATTTGGGATGGGACGGGGAGAAGGAATGGTGCGTAACCACTTAGATGGTCGGAAATTGAACGCAGACCTGCATTAAGCGAGACCGTCGCTCTACCGTCCACCCTAAGTGGTTGGACTTAGGAGTCAAAATAAATTACAGGATTCTATTATATGCTAATTTTCATTGGGGCGTGGCTTAATTCGACAGGAAGTCTTAAGAGAGGAAGTTTTGAGAAGGTAGTCTTGAGAAAGGAAGGGCAGTAAGACGTATCCTGGTTGGGAAATCCTCTATTGAATTGCCCTTATTGACTAGAATTATCGGTTCAGTATATGTTAACACGTAATGCTTTAGCAAACTTTCAGTGATTAAAATTATTCCTTCATTCATTCATGTATATTAAATTCCCGTGATTCCCCTTGTATGTCGCAAGAAGCTGCACCAAGTATCTCATTTGAACCCCCATTTAATATTTGCTTTAAGCCTTTAACGTCTGTATGTAACGTCCCTCTCCGTACACGGTGCTTCCAGTTAATGTACCCAAGTTTCCGTCTGTCCACAATTGGAGGCCCCTTATCCGATTTTCAGGGCAGTGTGGTATTGAGTGAAATATTGGTTGTGATACCCCAAGAGTTTATCGTGTTCGTAAAAATGTATTTTCTGATATTTGCTTCAGTTCT